AGAAAAATTAGCCCATATGTGCACCAAAAGAAAAATACAAGAATATTCACTATTCATAACAGCCAAAAATGGAATATTTTCCAAAGGATCGTTAATAGGCACATTGAAATAAATGGTGTATATTTGCAAATGGAATTCTATGTGTGTAGAGTGACAAGAATAAGCATACCATAACTCCATGCAACATGATAGATGTACTTCAAATATATAAAGTTGGACATAAAAGGCCAGATACAAGAGTACATATACCATCATTTCATTTTTATAAGGTTTAAAAACAGGAAAATCTATAGTTTTTAAAATCAGTAAAGTGGTGGTTCTTGGGAGATAGTGACTAGAATAGGTCCCAGGGTGGCTACAGGAGTGCCGGCAAACCTTTGGTTTCTTGATTTGGGTGCTAGGTATGAGGATACACTCAGTTTGTATAAATACTTTCAGTTGTATCTTTATGATTTGGGCATTTTTCTATGTGAATTTTCTACTTTAGTTAAGCATATTCAAGGGTAGTATTTGAGGAATTAACATTCTTTATTCAGTAAGGAGACATGGAAGCCGTTGTCTTTAGCTGAAGAGTTGCACAATTCTATTAAAATCAGAAAGATTGGATCAAGTGATAACAAGACAAAAGGATTGAAAGAAAGAGAAAATTGACCTGAACTTATAGAGTAGTACTGGGAATACAGACAAGGAGACAGTGTGATCAAATACTAGAGATAAAATGGATCAAATTTCTGCCTAACAGAATAGGATACATAAAGAGAGGGAATAATTGTTTTTAAAGAGATTCAAGACTAAATGGCAGGCAGTACTACTGAGAAACATAAAAATCAAGAGGATAAAGGATTTGACAAATGTTGGCAAACTACAGTTAAGTCTGATCTGTCAACTATCTTTGTACAGCCCATGAACTAGGAATGGTTTTTACATCTTTAAGGGATTGAAAAAAAAAATATCAGATTAGATGTAATCAGAATAATATTTAAGACACATGAAAATTATATGAAATTGATGTTTCAATGTCCATATACAGTTTTTTGGAACACAGCCACACTCATTTGTTTGCATGTTTTCTATGGCTGCTCTTGCATTACAAGAGTAGCAGATGTGAGTATTGTGATAGAGTGGTATGGTATGTCCTGAAAAGCATAAATTATCTACTATCTTGCCCTTTACAGAAAAATTCTGCTAACCCCTGCTTTAGAGCTAAAATTATAAATTATATATGTCATATATTATATATAAGTGTGTAGAGAGAGAGAGATAGGGATAGAAGTAGACAAATACATATATTTCTATATATTTATAGATATATCCATATATATTTATATATATATATATATATATATTTCAAGTATGTACTTAGACATTATACTTAGGCATTATACTTAGGCAATACTTAGGCAATATATACTTAGGCAATATATACTTAGGTATAGACTTGAAAATACAATATATATATATAAATATATATATATATATATATATATATATATATATACACAAAAAAATGCCTAATACAATAATGGGAGAATGCAAAGTTTGTTGAAAAAGGAGGATAATGTTAGAAATAGAATTCTGAGGGTCACTCAGAACTGAGTGAAGAACTGAGTGAGTCGTCTGTTATTGTAAGTTAACAGCTGACGTTTAAAGACAACTAAAGAAAATAAAAAGTGCTTCATACACATTCATTCATTTGATCTCTAACACAACCTATGAGGTGAATATCATTGTCTCTAGTTTACAGATGAAGAAACAGACTCTAGAAAATATGTGACTATATTTTGGAGAATAAGTGCATTCAAAAGTAGAAGGTGACAGAGAAATACCATCCAGTAGAATGGGAATATTTTGATATATTGTGGGCGATATATTGCTTATATTTGTTGGCATAGTAATAGGACAAAAATTCTAGGGTCAGAATTTCTAAGTTTCCATACTGGCTCTACTACTTACTAACTATAATCTTGAGTTAATATCTTAACCTTTGAGACACTCAGTGTCCTAATCTATTAAAATTAGTATAATAGTATAATTACCTCATCGGGCTGCTATGAAAAGTGAAGTTAAATCATACATAAGGTGCCTGGAAGAGTGTCTGGCATATCTAAATGTTAGCTATTTTTATCTTTGGCAACAGATTCCAAGAATCAGTTGACGCACAATATAGTATCATTTGTATGGCAATGATTCAAAAAGCCCTTGATAGCTATTTACCTCACAGTTCTACTCTATAGACATGAGCACAAGTGGAGACATATCACCAGCCAGCAATAACATCAGAACCCCCACTTACTTACCTGATTTGTGGTAAGCTTTGTTTCTTTGCTTATCCTTCACACAACTATCCAATAAGGAATTTTTGCTCAGAATTCTTAAATATGAAATGTTCTCTTAAGTCCTATTTTGAAATGTCCATAGTGATTCAAATTGATTAATAGTAAATAATAAATCCTTCACAGAAACACTAAAAATCTTCAGTAAAGGTGTCAGTCAGTCATTTAATGCTTTTTTGATGTTTCTCCTCCTGTGGGAGAGAGAAAATTCACTAGAACTTTCAATTTTGTAAACTAACACCCAACTTTTGGCCCTTATCCTCTGTGAAGTAAACATCTGGTTATTATAATTCACTATGTGAGTTGACATGTTATTAAGGAAATCGAGTGCAACCGATGAGACTCCTGTGCGTGACAGGGTCAGACTCAGTGCTATCCAATAATCCACTCTGGTCCCTGCATGGCAGGTGGGCAGCAGCTGCAATTACTGTCATTTTATGTCTGGAGAAACTTAGACAAGAGGGTTCAGGGACTTCCTTAAGGTCATATTGGAAATCAGTAGCATTCCAAGGAACAGAACTTAAAATACACTTAACAAGATCACCTCTTGAATAGTTTCAACTTTTTTTAATGAGGATATTGAATAATTTTCCATGATATTCCAGTGTATACTTCAAAAGTATTTATTAGATCCCTATTCATGGATTTATTACTTATGAGACAAAGACTGTACAAAGAAGTTCCAGTTGAATCTACCTATATCTATTATTATTTGAAAGTTTAAACACTTTTTTTAATGAAAATGGAAAGAATGGTAATGACCAGTAGTCAAGATGGTGAAAATTCATTTCGATTTTTGAGCTAGTTTAATGAGTTAGTAGCTTATAATTTACTTAATGTGCTTGCATACTATTGATTTTAGACCTAAGTGAACTGTGTCTTCGTCTATGTGCTTTGCTGTATGCCAGCAGCATAAAAGTTGCTTTTCTTTTAGTAGGCCACATTGCCTGAGAAAGAAAACTACAAATGATTCAGATTCTAAGGAAGAGACACCTGTATAACTCATCAGTTAAAAGCCTATTCTCATAGCTTAATTTAATTCTTCAAATGAAATAATGCAAAAAATGAACGTTCTAAATGATAGATATGGGAATACATTTTGATAATTCTCTTACTGGATAGGAAATAGCCATCATTTACTAAATGAACATTCACTATGTGTCAAACTTTATGCTAGGGAATTTAGAAAAAGCTTCAATTTCGAAAGCCTCATGGTTTGTTTTCATGACTAGGTTAGAACTGAAGCATAGATAATTAATGCTGAGATTTCACAGACACCAAGTTATGTTTAGACACTGAATTAGTCTTATAATAAATAGATAATAAATGACAGATACTTGATATTGACTCTTTAATTTTTTTTGTTGGATTTTCCATTGACCATTCTTGTAATTCCTTCATTCATATATTTAAGCTTTTTCGCCCTTGTATACTATTGACTTAAGAAAGTGTATTTCAACCACTTTGATCCTAGTGCCCAGGATATTTCAAAGCTCTTTTAGGTGATTTTCCGTATTTTCCCTATATATCCATATCCTAGATACCAGCATCTGGAAATATATTGGCACTGTAGGTCTCACATATTCTCTGTGAAAGATCTAATAAGTAAAAATCTACTTAAATGATTTATCATTTTTAACTACTCTATCGGAAGCCCAAGTACTCATTCTATTAGAATATACGTGGATTTTTGATGAGACTATGATTTCACAGACTACTGCATTTTATGGCCTTGTTACTACAAAATCATATTGACTTCAAGATTCTCTACTTGACAAAAAGTTATAGGTCCCAGATGATAATGCTGTGAATATGGTGGCTTAGATGGTTCTCCTACCCTTCCCACATTCAAACTGCAAGTGGAAAATGAAAGTTGCATGCTGTTTAAAATTTGACATATCCAAAGAATAGTACTAAGCCAACACAGCAAGTTTACTGTGCATGGGAGAAGAGCACTTCAGAATTCAGGGTGCTAATTAGTGAGGGTTGCCTTAATAAACCCTGCCTGTAACATTTTTACTCTTCCCTCAAAATAATTTATATACACATACACACTTGAATGTATATGTACAAAGTACACAAATATATCCTTATGATTTTTAACATGTGCTTAAAATTATTTATATATGATTTATAAATGTATACTATTACTGATTACCAATATATATTCAGTGTTTGTGTAAAGATCTGTCTGAATGTATATACGTACATGTATAAATAGACATTATAATGTCAAAAGACATTTCAAGATAGTTTTGCTATACTTCTACCTTTTGAAGCATATTGTGGTATAATTAAATAAAGTATATGCTTTTCTAATACATGAGATGCATTATATTAAGCTTGAGTTAATTTAAAAATGTGTTGCATTAGAAATTTGAGAAGTCTTACATTTATATTAAGGAATAGAATTAAATATGTCAGATACCAAATTATACATTGTTATTATCAAATTTAAATTGTAGTTCTAGAGCAAACATTTATAAATTTAATAGCTTTTTCATGTGAAAAATTAAGCCTGGAAAATTTTGATTATATGACTTAAAAAACTATGACACATCCCTTTTTAAATGAGCTAATTTAAGAATAATCTGTAATGACCACTTCTTCCTAAAATACTTTTTGACATAGTAGAATGATTATAAATCTACTTATCACATGTTTTAGGCTAAGATGACTCAATTGCCTGAGGCAGAAAAGGAAAAGATTGCTGAGCAAGTGGCTGATTTCAAGAAAGTAAAGAGTAAACTGGATGCTGAGATTGAGATATGGGATGATACCAGCAATGATATCATTGTTCTGGCCAAGAAGATGTGTATGATTATGATGGAGATGACAGACTTCACAAGGTAATTATGTGGAAAATGATGCATAACATTTATAATGGGTAGAAACATTTGTCACAGTAATGAAACCCAAGTTTCTCTAAGTAGCAGGTGCTGAAAACCAAATGGTGGGAGAAACATAAATAATATAGAATTAGAAAGTTGTAGGTGTTTAGTTCTAGAGGTTTTGGTAAATAAATATGGCAAAGTTTCTCGTGACAGGCCAAAAAATGATTTTAGAAATCTCCTTTATACCCTCTCACCTTAGGAGTCTTCTCTGTGTTTCATATTAGCATATTGTTTTACAAAGAAATTGGTAAATCTAATTATGATTTCGATTGGAGCTATCTGAATATTTGATTTCCATAATTACATAATTTTAGTTGTGGTGATTTATGTGTCATCAAGATTCATGATATCTTTTGCTCCTGAGACATAACCAAATATATTTTAAATCACAGTGACTTAATGATATACATGGAAGAATCATACATGGTGTGTAAATTCCAGAAGCAATAAAATGCTTATTATAGCTTCAAAATATTGTTTTTTAGAGCTATCCAAAGAGCAGTAAAATAATATAGTTCTTGCCCTACCAGTTACTAAAATATACAAAACTACAATACTTAAGGCAATTTAATGTTGGTGTAATTTTAAAAGCCACAGAGAAGAACACTCTGAAGCAGACCCGGTATACTCAGAAAACGTTCATTTATATCACTGTTCATTGTCCACAAATATATATTTTTTAAGATTTTTATTCATTTATTCATGAGAGACACACAAAGAGAGAGAGAGGGAGGCAGAGACACAGGCAAAGGGAGAAGCAAGGCTCCATGCAGGGAGCCCGATGTAGGACTCCATCACAGGACTCCAGGATCACGCCCTGAGCTGAAGGTGGGTGCTTAACCTCTGAGCCACCCAGGGATCCCCCACAAATATAAATTTTAGATAGAGTAATAAATATAACTTTAAAAATCATAACAAATAGAAAAATGTACACACAAATCTTTTATTTATATTAAGAATCAGAAAGACTTTCTAAGCATTGGAGAAAAGGGGAGAACTTATAAAAATAGGATTATTAAATTGAACTACATTAAAAATTCTGTAGGGATCCCTGGGTGGCGCAGCGGTTTGGCGCCTGCCTTTGGCCCAGGGCGCGATCCTGGAGACCCGGGATCGAATCCCACATCGGGCTCCCGGTGCATGGAGCCTGCTTCTCCCTCTGCCTATGTCTCTGCCTCTCTCTCTCTCACTGTGTGCCTATCATAAATAAATAAAATAAAATAAAATAAAAATTTAAAAAAAAAATTCTGTAGATCAATAGAATGTCCTAAACCATATTAAATATAAATAGATAATTGGGTAAACATTTGTAACAAAAAATAACAAAAATATGATGTCACTTATATATAAAGAATATTTAAAGAAATGAATATAAAGACATTGTCAAGAATAAAAAATCAAATATTCTAGAATGGACAAGAGACATGAGCAGATAATTCACAAATTTCTCCCCCTAAAAAAATTGATCTATAAATCTGTGAATAACATTCAACCTAAAATAATTTTTAAAAATGTAACTTTTAAATTTATAAAATTGGACAAAATTTTAAAACAGGTTTGTTATAGGGATAGTATGGTGATGAAAGTGTATGTTTGTATAATGTAATAATTAAGCATTATGTATAAAGTAAGAACTTTTGTCAAGTTTTGATATCTACACCTGTACATTATATACACAGTTTAATGAAGAGTATCTTTTATTTATTTATTCTGGGCACATATGTAAAGGAAATGAAAAAAACATCTTGGGATTTCTGCATTCCTATGTTCATTGCAGCATTATTCACAATAGCCAAGATATGGAAACGGCGTTGGTGTCCCTCAAAAGACAAATGAATAAAGAATATATATTTATATGTATTATTATATAAAATTATATTATATATTATATATTATATATATTTATATATATCTATTATATATATACATATATATATATTATTTATTTATTTATGTGGAATCTTAAAAAGAAACCAAACTCACAGAAACAGAGTAAAAGGGTGGGGAATGAGGGGTAGAGGAAGTGGGAAGATGTTGGTCAAAGAGCAAATACTTTCAGTTATAAGATAAATAAGCTCTGAGTATCCAATATGAAGTATGGTGACTATCATTAATAATACTGTATTGTACACTTGAAATTGGCTGGGAGTGGATCTTAAGCATTCTCACGAACACATAAAAAAGGTAACTATGTCAGTTGATGAATATATTAACTTGATTGTGGTAATCATTTCACAATGTAATCATATATCAAATCCCTACCCTGTAAACTTTACATATTTTTACTATTGTATTTGTCAATTATGCCTCAAGAAAGCTGGGGAGAAAAGATAATCAAAATAATTCAGCTGATGAGACACTTGCATCTAAAAAACAAATACAAAACAGAAAAAAAAACTGTAATGCAACACACCAAATTGAAATAAATTTTAAAAAATACTATACCCAAGGAAAATGAAAACACTAATTCAAAAATACGTATTTACCCCAATGTTTATTGCAGCATTATTTACAATAGATAAGACATGGAGGTAACTGAAGTGCTCATTCATAGATGAATGAATAAAGATGTGGTATATAAACACAGTGGAAGATTGCACAGCTACAAAAAAAAAAAAAAGGCTAAGATCTTCCCATTTTCAACAACATGGATGGACCTAGAGGGGAGTTATGCTAAGTGAAATAGACTGAGAAAGACAAATGCCATATAATTTAAATCATATGTGTAATCTAAAAACCAAAACAAATAAGTAAACAAAAAGCAGAATCAGACCTATAAATACAGAGAAAAAATATGATGGTTGCTGGAAGGAAGGGGATGGATGGAGGAAGGGGAGAGGGAGATATATACTTCCAGTTATGGAATGAATAAGTCACAGAAATTAAATACATAGCATAGGAAATATAGTCAATGGTATTGTAATAGCATTGCATAGTAAGGATGGTAGCTAAGTGAGCAGAGGGAAATGTATAGAGAAGCTGAGTTACTATGTTGTATACCTGAAGTTAATGTAACATTTGTGTCAACACTATCTAATAATAAAAAGTTGGAGTGTATATTTTTAAAATCTGGACTCAAAATCAAAAACTAAGAGGAATGAAAAAAGGGAAAAAAAGGAATGAGGAATTTAGCAAGTTCACCAAAAGTAAAGAATAAAATTTCAAAAATTATTAAGTATATATAGTCTCCAAAGGAAAATAAATTCAAATAAGAATTCCATAAAGGGCATTGAAAACCAACAGATTAACTAAGAGATAGTGATGCGATAAAAGTAAAGAAGAAAAGAGAAAAAAGACCTTGAAATGGAGAGGAGGCAAAGAAGCTCCAGTATACACATACTTGGACCCTTTGAAGAATAATTTAAGAAATAATGAAGCAACTAATATTTAAAAGTATAAATCAAGAAAACTTTCATTATAGAACTAAACTTATATTTATGTATTGAAAGGTGTTACCATGTACCTAGGAATTTGACCCAGACAACAATAAAAATATGCACATCTTCCTTATATATAAAAATATTAATATATTATAATATAAATGTACTCTAAATATCATTATATTTGTGTATAAATTCAATAGCTATTTCACACAGTACATGTGAATAGAACTAGAAATGAGATATATGATAGCTTAACTTGTCTTATGGATCTAACATTATTCTGAACTATTTTATTGAATGATCATTTGTTAATTACCTAGATAATCTTCTTTTGACATCTTAATTCTTTCTCTGATTTAGGTGATTTTTCTGTTGGGTCTGAACTTGATTTGTTCCTTCTGTAACAGCAGCCAGATATCTATCCTGCCATTGATTTTCTCTGTGGTTCCTTTCTGTTTTTTTTTTTTTGTTTTTTTTTTGTTTTTTTTTTTTTTTTAGGGAACATTAATTCCATCTATATCTATAACTATATCTTATCTATCTATCTATCTATCTATCATCTATCTATCTATCTGAAAGGCAGAGAGAGTGAAAAGTGAAATCAACCAAATTATAACAATTTATGAAAAGCAATCCTTCCCTCCACAAAGGAGAGGCAGGTACTTTTAACCCTGTCTGATTTCATTACTTGTGATTATCTCCATATCTCTAAGCAATATACTTTCTTCTCTAAGATAAAATTTATTGGCTTTTCCTACATATGAGAATTATATCACTTATAGGACTGTTCTTCTTTTCTCCCCTCCTTTCCTTAGGTTGATGAATTTATATTTGCAGTCCTTGATAGTATTATTTAATGCATAACTGGATTTTTTTTGTTATTTGTGTTAGTTATACCTCAACTTCTAGCTATGTATGATGAAGAGATTCCCACTTTCATTTTCCATCTCTTACTGCTCCATTCTGTATCTCATCCATAACTCAACTTCTCTCTACCACATCTTCTTTTACATTGTTAAGATGGGTAATATTTATATTCTTTGCAATAAGAAGGATTTGGGGCCATAATTAAGGAAGTTTCAGTGAGTGATCAATGAGTTGTTTTATTTGAAGAGATTTTAGTTAAAATGAAGATTGAAGGGGTACCTGGGTGGCTCATTTGGTTAAGCACTTGCTTTCCTCTCAGGTGATGATTCCAGTGTCCTATTCATTGGGGAGTCTGCTTCTCACTCTGTTTCTCCCCCTCATCATATCCTCCCTCTCTCTCATATAAATAAATAAATAAATAAATACGTAAATAAATAAAAAATCTTTTAAAATATGAAGACTGAAAAAATAGTATAATTTTGGCAGTTCTCAATTTATGAGTACTTTTGTTTGAGTAGCTTCACTAAATGGTGAAAAACAGTAATTAAAAGAGGTGCATGAGAGACTAGCTGATAAAAAAATAAAGAGTTTCAACATAGCAACTTAAGAGAGCAGCAGTCAAGACAAGATTTTGAAATTTCTAAAGGGAAAGAGGAAATGGGAAGGGATAGAATAAAATTTTAGAAGGGGAATAAAAAGCTATAA